TTTAAATTTCATTATCATAATTTCATTTTATAATTGTACAAACAGGATATGTGTTGGGACCGAGCTGAACCGACAGGCAGGTACTAACTATTCGCTCAGGTTGTCAGCGTTTCCACCTCTCACTCCCTCTGGAAGCGTCGCGCCCGGCCGGCGGCCGGCCCACCCACCTCGGACCTGTTCGATCACCCACCCCCCTCCCTCCCCACTGCACTGGTGAGACAATACGGCGGTACACAGACGACATGGACGGACCGCCGGCCGCGCGGCGAGGCTAGGACGCTTCACACGACACATACTGCCCACCATTGAGCGTAAGGTCCCCGCCGCTTCACACAGCACACCATTGAGCGTGCGGCCCGCGTGGAGTCCCATCGACCGGTGGACAGTGCGGCCGGCAATGTCCACTGTCTACCCAGTGACTGGCATTGGGGAAACAGTTCCATTGCCGGCGGGCAGACAAGGTCGGATTATCGACAGGCAGCAACAGGTTATCGACATACGAGACATAGCGAATGGCCAACAAGTCATCTGCAATTGGGTTTCTAGGAATGGTTATTCGACGAATAATTCTGGAACAGTGGCATCGTGGAATGAAATTTCATTCCAGGATAAGCATGATGATCTTGATCATATGACGTCGTCGGAACAAACACATTGTTACAGAAACATCAACTATTCCCTCAACCTTTTCCGCGACCACCGCGCGCGTCGAGACCCTAGCAGCCAGACGATCTTCCGTCGCTGGGCAGAGGAGAGCGACAACAAAGAACGGCGACGAATAACTAGCCGACGACAATGACAGAGGTCGGAGAGAGCACGGCCACTCCCTGGCAACAAGCGGCCTCTGCGACCACTCCCGCTATCATCCTCCGCTGCACCGGCGACAGGCACCAGTCGTGACAGAGACAGACACTATCCGTGACGGCGGTGACGTCAGAGAATGTTGCCGTGAGGGATTGGGACAGTGGTCAGAGAACGTTGCCGTGAGGGATTGGGACAGTGGCCGAGACGGTAGCAGCGACAGCCGGAGACACCAGCCGTGTTAAGTCTGTGGCAGCCAGGGTAGCGATGACCCTCATGACAGCTTTAGAGTTATCGACCAAGGGCTGACAATGACAGGAGTCCAGCCGCCGGTGTCAGCAGTCCGGACAGCGATGACAGCAGTCCGGCGGTGACAATCCAACGGTCACAGTCCGGGGGCGATTTTCGGCGATCCATGGCCGCCGGCGACAGCCGACTGTCGTCGCCTCTAACAGATGCCAACAGCCCGGCGGCGGGAACATTTCGGCCCGACCCGACAGGGCTGTATTGAGCGCCCGCTCCAGTTCTGCCGACACCATTCGCGCTGACCGGGCGTGGTCGCGGCTAAACATGGCGGGCCAAACACCAGGCTTTCTTCCGTGCCCTGCGCTGTCGGCCACCACAATAATCCGCCATAGCTGAGCTCCTTTTCGGCTCATTACCCTAACAGCCTGCCGCCGCGCCAGGACGGACCATTGCCGTGCATCGTCAGTCGTTGGGACGGAGCTCAGACAGACAGCCCGGGGCCGGGGCTGCGGCTGGCGGGAGTCCTTGGCACCAGTGCCGAGCGGGTCATCATACAGCGCGGCGGATCTGAGAGGTACTCTGCAGGAAAGGCGCCGCCCCCGGCTGTAGGAAAGCGCCGAGATTTGGCACTGCTTCAGTGAGAAACATCCTCTCATTTCTGAGACTGTCCGTTATCAAAGAAAAAGCCACTGGATGGCGCAGCATACTGCAGTCCTGTCAGTCCCTCCCAGTCAGACCACCTCTCCACACCTCTCTCCCTCCCGCTTCCCCACCAAGGCCGCTCACCCCGCCCCGCCCGCCCGCCCCGCCCCGCCCCGCCCCGCCAAGCATGTCGATAGCCCTCCTAGCGGCGGCGCCCGCCACTTCTGGCAGGAATATTGGCGATGCTCGTCCATCAGTCTGGCTACAGCCGGGGTGGATATCACAGCTCTCGAACCGATAGGCCCGGTGAAATATCGACACCACCTGAGCGCCGCGGAACCCATGGAGCGGTCGAATGTGCGCTAGAAGGGGCCACCTCACCGCAGAGGGCGTACGGAGCGGGGCGGCGCTCAAGACGAGATGATGAATGGTGTACTCAACTGAGCGCGTTTGTTGGGAGTCAAGATAGTGAGACATGCTAAAAAGAGACATCCTCACACATGACATCGACCCATCAATTGCCAGGACAATAACCTACAACTTGACACAACTTCGCTCAAAACAGCTAGATCGCGCCATTCCCATCCAAGCACATAGCCGTCCTTCTCGAAGTAACAGTCTCAGGCCGCGCTAATGCATCAGCCACCCAGTAGCCCACAGATGTCCATCAGTCACACCCAGCGCCCGGCGTGTCGCCGGAGGGAGCGCCATCCTCCCTCCAGAGCCTTGGTCTCAGGCGGTGCCGCCGCCGCAGGGACTGCTTTCCTCCCCGTCAGGGAGTCAGTCCCAGAGTAACACACTCCGTCGTCCGCCGGTGACATTACCAGAGGGATTGCCGCCCTCCCCGTCAGGGAGTTCTGGGGCCGTATTCGCGTCGATCATTTTCGTAAGAATTTTCTTAAGTTTGACCTACTTCTTAAGTAATTTTTTTTAATCACGTGAATTCCGTCGATAAAAACTTAAGAAGTGTCGACGTGAATACCAAATTATACTTACGAAAGAAAATCGACTTACGAAGTCGACGTGAATACGGCCCCTGGGCTGGAGAGGTCCCACGCTAACAGCTCGGTGACATGACGAGCTTCTGAGTACCGCGCGTCACGCCATGGGGAGATACTCCTCCCCTGAGAGGCCCGGGAAGGGCGGGGAAAGAGAGAGAGAGGGAGAGAGAGAGAGAGAGAGAGAGAGAGAGAGAGAGAGAGAGAGAGAGAGAGAGAGAGAGAGAGAGAGAGAGAGAGTAAGAGAGAGAGAGAGAGGAGTATGGTCGGACAGAGGGTGGCTGATGGTCCGTGATGGGGGTGATCGGTCACCCGTCCGCTGTATCGCAGACATCGAGACGGACCGGGGAGCAGCGAGGAACTAGACCGCTTGTAGGCTCGTCAACGGCTGGTGGGTAAGATTCGTATGTAAATAAGTCAAGACAGCTTTGTTTGATCACTACATTTCGTCTTCCGACGTGGAGATTTATCTTACTTGCAAACACCAAGCGCGTCAACAAGCTCGTTCCGGCTTCAGTTATCTGCCTGAAAATCCCACCAAGCAAAACAAAGCGCTCCAAACAGGGAGGAGAATAAGATAACACAACTCGTAATTGAGTGATCATATCTCCCCTGGCTTGAACACCCTACCACCACCCTCACAGCCGGGCCGGCCAGCCCGAGCCGGAGCCTGGGCTGGGATAAAGCGGACGGCTCTTGGCCGGCGCCCGCGGGTGTATCGATTGTGGTCCCCTCCCCGCTCCCCCCAGTCTCTGGGAGTGCCCGGGGCCAAGGTCTGTCGACAGGGACGGTATATGTGAGCAGGCGGCTTTTAGCCTTGGGTGGCTATCCCTTCCACGGCAGAACGGAAGGTTGGGAGGAAACAGGGCTATGGTATATGACAAACGAGTGATGTCTCTACAAACCGACAGTCTGTAGCAGTCATCAACAGTCGATGGCTACTATTAACCACTCAACGTCTTATTGATTGGCTCACGTTTCCTATCTCCGATATGTAAGTGTTGTCATAATTCAGTGCCGGAATGTAATCCTTCCTTGGGGACGAAGCTGGCTTTGAATTTCCAATCGTTAACGCTGTCCTGTCGCGTCACGCCGTAGCAATACACCGGGGGACGGAGGGTAAAGTATGTAGATCTGAAGCTCAGAAGCGTATATCATAAGCTTGACGCCATAGTAAATAAAGCAGCAAGCATCAAGAAGCCACGACAAAGCATCGCCGGTTTTAAGTGGCTCGTACGATAACAAGTGCACGGACGGTCAGACATAAAAAACATCTACAAGTGGCGACATACAGGTCGCCGGGACCAAATACCATCGACACCTACCACGCACACAAGATCTTATTTCCACGGTCCCTATATAAGCATATAACCCACCACACCACTGCACCACCCCGCACCCGTCGTATAGCGGCAATACGGCAATGCGGCACATCTCCCGAGGGAAATATCACCCCTGTGCGTACCGTACGGGTCCGCCACGGGCGCAGCACGCCGACGGTAATCGGTCCGACACACGGATCAGTGGGTGAGACTGACAGACGCGGGCGACACAGAACTGGGATGGTGACAAGGACTGTGACACAGCCTGACACAGCGACAAGAACTTTGACACAGCTTGACACAGCGACGTGCTAATATATGTATGCCCAGGGACCAACACCGCAAACAACTACTGCAAGCCCAGGTCTCCGATAATGAGAATATCGTATCATCTGCTTGTGATACTCCGGCATACTCGCTCTCTGTCCAAACTAGTACCCTCGCACCCCGCCACAGTCCCCTCGGTCAGCTACAAATATCCGCTGAACGCACAGTGGGCACACGAGCTGAATCTCAATTAAGCAGCCAACGCCGAGCGCGAAGTTAGCTGGTATGAAAATGGATGAGACGCACAGCCACAATGGTAGAATTGGACTGGAGCTGTTAAAACAATGGAATGGAGCGCCTCTCGCCTACCAGAGATACAAAACAATGGCCCTGTGAGACGAACACCGTGGTTTAAGTGCTAAGGCACGACTTGAGATGAGAAAAGCAGATTCCTTTGAGATTTACAAACGAACGACTTTTGAGCCGTTGGCAACGCTTTGGATACTAAAAACTGTTGAGTTGACTTAATTGGTTTAGCTCCTTACCACCAGACACACAAATAGCCAAACGTTTCACACTATACACATCTCACTATCAGAACGTGCAACAGTCAGACAGCCTCCTACCCGACCATACACCGTACACACTAGTCCACAACCTCCCCCCCCATACAAACACATACAGACAATGCTCACACGCCCGTCCGTCCCGCCTGTATACGTACCAGTGTGGTAGGGATGCCGACCGTCTCGGCCGCCTCGAACGCCGCGTTGAAGTTGCGCCGCTTGTCGCCCGGCTTCAGCTGGTCGTACGGCACCTTGTCCGGCATGAAGCTGTGCAGCAGCGCGCACAGAGCCATCCCGTCGTTCCACGAGCTGCCGGCGAAGACGGGTCATGGGTTAGATAAAGGTCACTGGGGTCAGAGTGAGGTCAGGGGTCATCAGGTGTGGGTCAACAAGAAGGAAACAAGAGTCAGAGGATGAAAGAGAGAATATAAGATCAGAGGTTACATCAAAGAGAATGCAACCAAGGGTTTACAGAAGATGGAGAGACAGATAGACCGTCAGAGTGATCATACGGATACATAAGTAAAGTCCAGTATAATTCATTCAGGATAAGCTACTAATCCAAAAATCAATGCGCCATTCAGATCCGCTTTTCATACCAGCACGGTTTCATTTTTTTCGCACCGCGCAGACCACAATATCAATGATAAATGGCGCCCCACACAAAAGCGAAAACAATTTCACCGACATTCGGTAAACGTTGCCGGTTAATGTCGACCACTTCCTAGAAACGCTTGGGAACCGAGCTTGAACCGCGGCACGGCTAACACATGCCATTACAATCCACCCAAACACAGTAATTCTGAGAAATCAGGTAACTGTACTGTACTACAATAGCACCTCGTTTTGATTATGAGTCATTCATATCCCGAAACTATACTATTCACACGACACTTGAAGCGAAAGTTTGGGCGACTTTGGCGTCCTGACCACCCGAGTTGTTTATTCAGGTCGTTGATGCGTCCAGCCTGGCACCCCCGAGGCGGTGAGGACTGCTAATCGCACGGTAAGGACAGTGTACGGGCGGTAATAATGGGAACGTAACAACCGCGTTTCCTCAAGACTCCAGTGTAACACAGTGATGAAGCGTCAGAAGCGAACCTTAACGTCAGTGATCTAGTGAAGCATTGGCAGTCGATTGATGTGGTAATTAATCGTCAAACAGCTCTTCAGCGTCAGTGACACAGCGACGGATCAGTCCGATGTGGAGTAACACCGGTACAGTGACCGTCAGCCGGCTATGGAGTCGTAATTACTGGTCAGCACGACGAGCGACATCGATATCCCGCACACGACACTCGCCGGCAGGTAACCGGGCTCAGAGGCGACTGGCTGTCGGAGGTGAACAAAAACTTACAGAAATTGTCCCACAATGTTATAGGCATTCGGGGCTAGGAAATACAAGTGCGCACGTAACACAGCAGTCAGCAAGTATCACACTGCGCTAAGCCAACGGCAAGACTGTTGTAAAGATAAGCAGCGAAATCTTAGCACAAGATGAGCAGAATATGCCTACATCAAAAAAATGAAAACCTGCGAAAACAGAGATAGCCCCGCATTTACACTGCACCCAAGCCTCTAAACAACTATGCTACGGCCACAGGCAGACAGTCACCAGCAGCTGGTAGATATGACCTGTGGCGCGGTCAATACTCGATATCGCGAGAGCCGATACCAGCGGCAGTAGCACACACAGTCGCCAGACACACCAAATGCCGACAGCGACTGTGCTGGTGGCAGTGCGCCGATATATGACTGTTTTAAGTGCAGTTTACGTCTGTTACTGAAAACTGCAGGCAGGTCGAAACAGTGGACTGCCATAACTAGGAGCCAATACCTTCATAAGAATATTGAGAAAAGTTGCCATCATAAAGAATCTGACGACCGCTGTGCGGGCTTTTCATGCTGACACTCTATAGTTCCTGTATTCCTGCTCACAGTCCCTTTCAGTTCTCCTTCCGATCACAATAACCGGCCAACCAAATTAAATACCTCCCCATCTCCCACTTCCGCCGCGCAATATGGCACACCGCACCGACCAATCATCCGGCCGAGCGGGTGCGTTAATTTGGCCACAGCCGCACCGGCTGGCCCACGGGTTAGTGAAGGTCATGACCCGCGGCACATGGCGGCCGGCTGTCGCCGCGGCTCCCGTCCTCTCTCCCTGCAGAGTGGCTCATCAGAGGTGATCGAGGGGGCACCCGCTGCGAGTCTGCGACAGACGGAGTACGGAGAGAAACGGCATGGATCGGCATGGAAAGAAACTTAGTGGGCTGTAGTGGATCATAGAGGAAAGCAAGATCAAGAACAACAAAAATTCGGCTTCAAAGTACATGAAGATTATTGGAAGATAGGAGTGATCGAGACAGAGTGATGCTCGAAGCAAGGAGGCACGTTAAACCATTGCTTATTCAACGATTTTTACTTTAACCTTCATCAATCACAAGTTTTTCTTTCTGCCAGTTGCGATCCGCCACAGCGCATTTCACAAAGGCCTCTCTAAAGCCGATAGCAGCGCGATTTCCACATTCGACAGCAAGACCGATACAGGCTCTGGCTCAGCACCAAAGTTAACCCGCGCCCTGGTGGGGTCTGTTTATAACGCGACCTGGTGGGGGGGGGGGGGGCTATTTTTTGCCCCCCCCCCCCTCGTAACTCCGAAACTACTGGACGGATCCGCAAATTTCAAACGGCGTTCGAAAGACCTGTCAAATTTGTCGAAGGAAACCAAATTTTATTGACCTCGGGGTCACCGATGACGTCACAGGTCAGGTCAAAGATGAAATGTTTCACCGTTCACGGGTCTTCTAGGGAATGCGCTATAACACCGAGGAAAACGCATTTTGTCGGGAATCAGCGATAGGGCGTCAGTTGCCTAGTAGATATGTTGCTGTCAGAGGTCACTGGTCATACCAGGTCAGGTCACAGGTCAGGTCACCAAAGGTCACCAAGGGTCACCACATGAACCCAACTTTACTAAGGTTGTGCGATGCATGTTTTATGGCCAGTTTTTCATTTCCAACTCAATGGTGTTGGTTATAAGACCATCAGGTACGGTTTAGGTCACTTTCTGGTGGAGGTCAGGTCAAGGTCAGGTCAAAAAAGGTCAAATTTCAAAGTTGATATTTTTGCATAAAATGGGTATTGATTCGATGCAGCTCGTCACGGGGAGTCTAATGGTGGTCTTTGTTTTGCGCTACGAGGTCTAGAATTGCTGAAAATTGAGTTTGAAAATTTGACGTCATCAATTTTGAACAGTTTTTTTGCTATAACTTGGCCAAAAAAAGAGGTGTCGATCTCAAATTTGGTATGTAGATAGAAGGCGGTAGGGACTATCACATATATTCCGGTTTTTTCGAAATTCAAAAAAACTTTTTTGGATTTTTTGGCTATTATATTCAAAAAATATATTTTTTGATTTTTGGGGGTCAAAATCCAAAAATTTCAAAAATCCGAGATAGCAGTTTTGTAGCCCTGTCTATTCTACAGCTTTCATGTCTGTATCATTTTTCTGTATTTGCAAAGCTATAGGCCTGACAGCTCTTCCCGCGAAACCCTTTTTTGGGTCGAAAACGGCAGAACATGACGTCTCTCTGACGTCATTTCCGGCCAACCTATCATAGCCTTTGGAAAAATTTTTGGTCACAATGTGTAAAATTGATGTCCGGGAGGGTACTGAAAGTTTGGTGACGATCGGCGCAGTGGTTCTGGAGATATATCGAAAAGTCTGGAGGGGGGGGGGGGGCAAAAAAATAGCCCCCCCCCCACCAGGTCGCGGGTTAAGGCCGACTAACGCCGCCGACTCCATCACCAGCATTCAATCACTGGCGAACGCAGGAAGGCAGCCCGCTGGATAATCGAGTGGACGTTTCCGCTGAGACCGCCAGCAATTCGCTGACCTCAGCGGCGTATTTAGCCGCGTAGGTGAGCTCCCAATCGTCTGATCAACAGACCCATCACTGCAACTGGCTTGATGTGACTAGAAAATCGCACAGAACCGCAGCCCGGATGGTTGGATATCGCTCCGTCTACAAATGTCCACCTGAAGCGAGGTCGACGTCCGTTCGAGGCGACTTCAGACTAGTGTTGGAAAGTGACAGCAACAGACAGCGCGCTACTCCGCCGACAAATTGGCGGCTATACCACCCGCATGGTGACATTTACGGGCCGACATCGGGCGGAATGGTGACATTCATTTGCCAATACCCAACTCGGCCGATAGTTACGAGAACTCGTCGGCTGTCGACCCAGCCAATCGGCGGCATGAAGTTTTCTAGCTACATAATGTGTGATCGTGACTGCAAATAAGACCAGCTGCTGCACTGAGACGAAGTACGACAACTCCCTTTCTGACTTGTTTACGTGCAGCATGAATTTCGCAATAGGACGGTGGTGGAGCTTGGAATATGACATTTTACTACACCCAACCAGAATGCATATCTCATTGCAACTGCGATACAGCAGCTATAATTTCCACCAAAACATTACATTCCTCAGCACAGCCTACACACATCACGCAGGATGAAGCCTCGGCTGAGACAGCCCTCCGTTTGCGTTGAATTGAGCCGTTAGCCGGGATAAAGGCCATCAGCTCTCCAAGCACCTCCCATCGTTCCGTTCAGGCAACACAGGGCGCCAGCTTTGCATCACAGGAGACGCTCAAATGGAGCGAGGGTCCCGCCAAAACAGGCCGGGGTATCCGCAGAATACTGACTGAGCCGTGGCGGTAGCGTCTGAGTGCCCCGGTACAGTGTCTGCATTAGACATGAGCCCGACCGGCCATATGAAGGGCGCGGCCCGGCTGGTCAGACAGGCAGGGGTTAGCAGCGGAATACAGGCTAAGGGATTATGGAACCTTCATTAAAAAGGCATGATTCCTTCAGGACAAATTTTACTGGAAATAAATACGAACCCAGAAATGATAAAAAAGGCATGTGTCAAAGTATGTGGCACACATCCACATGGTGGCGTGCGACACAAATACAGATATCCCAGTTCATGGATCTTCCAATTTCCTCTTCCTGCGCCATTTCGCGTGCCGCGCAGTAGGCAGGCGGGGGTCTGTCCACTCCATTTCTCACCCCTGTCGGGGCCGGCGGACGCGGCGGGGCGCCCCGTCCCACCTCCCACCCGCCGCGGTCCGCTCGGTTCCACCCAGTTAAACCGGCGCCGCTGGTTTTGTGAGCCATCGACCCGGCCCAATGAGGCTGGACCGACGGACGGCGGTAGCGGGCGGCCCTGAGTCACGGGCCCGACACGGGCTGTTACAGTAGGGCGTTAGAGTCCGACTCGGCCGTTATAGAATAGCGTTAGAGTCCAACACGGCTAGTGCAGCCAGTCGGCCTTCAAAAAAATGGCAACAAAAGAAGAAGGGTTCATGCAACACACTCCCGTTATGAGACACGTCTCCCGTCAAGATACGTCCGTTATTGGATTCCTCTAAAATAATAGAGAATAGAGGCGGAACGTTCGCCGGATCCACTGATTAGTGTCGAAACGTGGCTGGAAGATTAATTCCGGATCGGGTATCAATGCAGCCGCTGTTTTATGGCCCAGGATGAGGTTCAATAGTTAATGAGAACGATGATGAGAAATTAATGATCGGCCCGGTTGGAAGGCACTATGGTTCCGAGATTGTGCACAGACTTCCGAAAACCTTTACGACGTTCGAACTGAAATCATCAGCTTACAACCAGCTCGACGAGTACTGGCCAATCCATTTATCGATTAAGTGACAACCTCGACCTTCAACGCGCTGTTATAACCAGTCCACAACCTTCCAGAAACCAGAGGTTCTATCGCCATCACTATCAATGCCACTCCCATGAGCGCTCACTCCTCTCCGACCTGATCGTTTGCCTCTCAACCCTGCCCCGCCCCAATTACCTGGAGAAGTTGGTGATGTCCACGTCCCTGTATCCGATCGTCTTGTTCTGACACCACTTGAGCAGCGCGTTCCGTTTGCTGCCTCCCTTCTTGACGAGCGGCGCCAAGGGGTCTTTCTTATCTGCGGCGGACCGGGCGGGAGCGTCAGTCGTAAACTGGGCCGGCAGCGCTAAAACGGCCGCACGTAAACCGCTGAGATAACGGGACGACCCAGACCCGAGGTACGAGGCTGTGGTACCGGGGCTTTGATGTTTGGGGCCGAGAGAGCTATCACATAGGATAGGTGAGGAGATATTGCGACCTTTAGGGGGCGCTTTCGCTTGCGATGATTTGACACATTTCGGAGCATGTTTCATAAATCCATGGATGAGGTTAGGATGCCAATTTTGAGATGGTTTGACAAATAGGCATGAGCAAGGAAAACAGGGATGCAGCCAGGTAGAGAACGAGATGGGGAGAGAGGAAGAGCACCATGCACCATCTGTGACCTCGGACAAATTTTGCGGAAAAGAATTAGCGGTGGTATTATGCAAAAGAATCGGTGACAAGTGGAGAGAAATTGTAAAGTGATAAAGAAGGGTCATAAAAAATGCTGAGCCAAATAAATTGAAATATCTTTTAATCGATCAAGGTTCTGATACGGAAACGTCTGAAGCATAAATAACCTGACAAGCCGGGAGATTGAAAACTTAATATTCTCCCAACCGGAGTGCGTTTTGAGAAAGGATGCTAGTGAAGATGGTGGTTTGAATACAAATCCATGCATCAAAGAATAAGCGATTCATCATTTTGTGCGTGCAGATGGTCCCAACGTTGTACGATTGTTGATGAATGGTTTTAGCCTAGCAACTGCGCACAATGATATTCAGAGATAATTTAATGCGTGAGGTGTAACGTAATTTATACCGGAGAATGAAGATGGACTGGGCAGTAACTAAGAATTAGGAGATTTCTGAGAGAAGTCCCTAATTATTAAATCAAATAAAAGCGAAGCTGAGATGGGTGAGTCTAAAATTTAGCAGCCAAAGCAGTAGCCAGGCAAGCGCCCGACGAAGCCTAAAAATAACCATTCAATCTGAGCCTGAATAAGAATAAGTCCACTGAATATGGCTCGTATGACAGAAAGCCCACCGAAGGCTAACAAAGTCAGAAATATTGCTTCAAATGACGTCACAGGATTTTCATCTACCGAACACGACTGCCATAAATCTGTATCCCATCACACCAGCCATGATCACCGAAATGACACTGGTTCCGGCGTGTTTCATCGGACCGATAGGGAGTCTGGTTTTGTTTGGAAACAACGACATCAAATGGATGGAACGGCCGCCATCGCCGTAAAGGCAAATAACACCATCGGCTCGGGAGCCAGCGAGATGGGCCGGGCCAGATGACATTCTGAATAGTTCAGAGGCATCGGGGTTCAGTCAGCAGCGAGTCTCTCCCCCCTCTCTCTCTCTCTCTCTCTCTCTCTCTCTCTCTCTCTCTCTCTCTCTCTCTCGCTCCTCCCTCTCCCTACATACCCAGCTGGTCTCCGTAGCTGCTCCGCCTCAGTGATGGGTCCAGCTTGTTAGCTAGTATCGACGTTAGCGGTTTGCCCTCTTCCGTCTTCAGCTGTGACGACTTTGAAGAGTCGGTGCTCGCCTTGCTGAATAGGCTGTCTGTGGGACGAGAACAGAGTTTAGTAGGGATATGAGCTGGGCTGCTGCGGGGCGGCTTGTTATTGCAACACAATATAAAGGTAAAGGCAGACACGGATGGGCTCAGGAACGTAGCTAGTTCCTCTGTAACATACTTTTAGCAAGATTTACTGTAGCGCCATTTAACTCCAGGTATCGAAAACGCTTCGTCGTTCTCGAAATCTCCAACAGCACGTGTCATCAATAAAACACCTCTACAACTCAATTCAAAGTCGAGTTTAAGAGTAAACTTCCCGGGAAAGGTACCCAACTCCGAGATATCTCTGAGAATTACGATCGCTCCTCAGTTTTGTCCTGGGGCGAGCTGGAGACGGGATATAGGCCAAATGCACTAACGGAATTGCAAATGAGACTGGAAATTGTTCCATTTCGTGCCGCTGAAATCATGCATATCCAATCACTGTTGAAACGTCTCAGATTCATCTGGCTGTGAGTTATGATAGATAGTGCCGCGGGAAAAATCGGTATACGGCTAGTTCATATCATATAAATTCTTGAGCGTGTGTGCTTTGGTGTATGAGGTAAAATTACAACAAAATAAAACACCAGTAAAACGCCTTTTGGGCGAAGAACGAGCGAGCGAGATAGTGAGCCCTGCACGTGCGGAAGGGCGAGAGGGTGCTTCCAACGGGCTTGTGCAAAGCACCCTTCTAACCGGTCGCTAGCGGTGTGCCAAATTTGAACGCAATCGGCCCAGCCGTTCCTGAGATCTGGAAGCGGCATTTTGCACGTGCGCACGTGCAAACGGGGTCCAAAATGACTTTTGCACGGCACCCTACTAACTGGTCCCCAACCGTGTACCAAATTTGAGCGCAATCGGCCCAGCCGTTCTCGAGATCTGGAAACGCCCCCTGCACGTGCGCACGTGCAGTAGCACCCTAACCGCAACACATGGGAATGCATTGCCTGGTGGGTGCCTACCTGTATACCAAGTTTCAGCGAAATCGCCCCAGTCATTACCGAGTTATTGAAATGGGAACAAATTTGGCACCTCTTCTTTTTGCATTTTGCACATGCAGTGGGGGTCCCTCACATAGATCAAGAATATCCGACCTTTGGTAGAAGGGATGCAGCTACCCTACAAAAATTACCGCAAGACAATCGCCCAAGCGGCTGCTGAGATATGGGCCTCACAAAATCACTACTTTTGCAAAACAGCTTGAACACCCTTGACTTTTCACGTGGCACGTGCCACGACGGTCACTGAGATGTATCAAAAGTAGTCAATTACGGGGTAGAAGGGATGGGGCTACCCAACAAAAAAGACCGCAGGCCAATCGGTCCAGCGGTTACTGAGATATAAGCCTCTCAAAAGCGTTACAGGCCGGGCCGGGCCGGGCCGCTCATACTGAGATTTTTCCGTTATATTGAAAAGACTCACTTCGCTCGCTGCGCTCGCTCGCTCGTAACAAGGAGGAACGAAGGTGACAAGGGAGGTGACAGAACTACAATACAAATCTACTCAGCATTGCTAATTGAAAGCTAAGAGCAGCATGCGGGATAAAACAACTACAGAAACCGTCCTGACCAGCGTCAGTTGACAAGACAATCTCACACGACATCTCTACGGGTCATGTCTACTTCTACGTATCAGTCCGGCTAGGTTTCGACAGATCTGTGAATTTAGTCATGTCACACAGCGAGCACACTAAATACGGACATACAGGCACTCAATGGGTGAAACACTCCGACCACCTACCCGAGCGCCTCTCGGCACGATACGCTGCAAAAAAAAAAAAGGTTACTGGTCATCAGGGAACGCCACGGGAGAAGGGAAATTCTTGCTTACAAATCCCCATATAAAAACGAAGCGCCTGGATACCATACTCTCACCTCACCATCTCGCAAGCATGCACGGACAACCATCACCATCCACCATCACCACAAGACAGAAGCGTCACCGAGCCGCGCAGACCCGACGGAAGGGGACCATTTCCGGTCGGCAGCTTCTGATCCCGCCCGCCGGAAGCGTCCCCCGGGGAGCTGGCAGCAGCCAAACTCGTGCCGTCCCACCGGGAGGGCGGCCGCACGCTCTCCGCCGTCCGGGGACGAACCGCGCCGTACGGAGACGGCTGGCAGTGGCAGCCCGGGAGCCATTACCAGACGCCGGCACAGGCACACGAACAGAAACGATGGCCAATTCGGCCAACTCGTGTGGGACGCCGCGCAGTGCGAAATAAAACATAACAATTAAAACCGAGCCGTGGCTTTTCGGACTAGGCGGACGGAGATCCAATAACGTTAACCACACTACACCGGGATTGGGATAGGGCTAAAAACAGACGGTTAAGTCTCCATCCCATCTCACACACCACATTTCTCACACATCTCACACCTCAGCGGCAAGTTCTCCCGTCTCTCACCTGTGTAGCTGCGTGAGAAGGGCCGCAGGCCGGGGGAAGTGACGGGCGCGGTGCCGCTCGAGTCCGCGCCGGCCCGCAGCGCCGGCGCCGGGAACAGCGGCGAGCTAGCAGAGGCCGTGAGGCGCGGGTGCTGGTGCTGCGGCTCAGAGTTCAGACTCGACTGCGACGAGCTGCGGCTCTCTGATGGAGGGGAGCCGGGAGGGAGGGGTCAGAGGGCGAGGTCAGAAACTCTCTTGAGTTGGGGAGGGAGGTGTGATGTGTAATTCAAAGGTTTATAAAGAAAAAACTACAATATTGCCACCAACGATATGCTCCTGTCCACCCGAAGCAGCATTTGCAAAATTTCGCAGTTTTGTCGGCCAAATCAAAACATATCATGTTCATTGCCCAAATGCCCAGCCATAACAATCCTTTCCACACGCGTAATTCAGTCGCAATTAAGCGCTAGTCGCACACAATCACCCACCCACCCCCTAGCACGGGACCCGACGCACCACGGCGTCTCAGCGTCCCGGCACCCCATCGGGACAGTGTCACCCGGGCCACCGAGATCCAGAGTGACAGGCGCAAACGCCGGGCGTAATGAGACGCCAGTACCGACCAGCGAACACACACAAGCACACAACCACAGCTGTTATCACACGCGGCGGGCCGACATTGCCACCGCGGCGTACCGTTTGTGCGTACCAAGCGGGGGCGGGGCGGCACTGTCAGACACATGTGCGGAGATAGTTTGATTGATCACGACGCATACTCCATGGTGTATTGATCCGCACGCATATCTGACCAAGGAGAAGTGACCGAGTCGGACACATGGCATAAGTGATATGATGAATGAAGACGCCAAGTGGTTGCGTAGTATCGCAAAAAAAAAATGCTGCAGTTATCGAGAAATAGCCCGTAATAATACGATGCGACAAAGCACAACAATCAAGAAACTATATTTTTCTCTGCATTTTACCTGGACGTGTTACGTAAGCCACTTAAGTTCAGTTACCAAGAGACGCATTGTTCGGATAATGTAGGAGGGATACTCTACTGTAATTAACGCAACTTCGTTCCTTAGGCCTGGATAACTTTGTCTTTAAATAGGCCTTAGATGGTAAAACTTTTCACAAGTACGCGTGCATCCTCAAAACCAATCCGGCGAAAGTTTCGTACCTTGCCAACTTTAACACAAAAGTATCGCTACGGGTGACAGACTGGTGGCTCAAATAGAATTCGCTCGGGCACAAGCTTCTCACCCCCACACACCATCAGAGCTAATAGCTTCACAGTGTTGCCGAACACGTTGCATAGGATCTCCCCGGTAAGTTTTAAACACCATCTATTCTTTTCTCCGACAAACACATTGCATCGTTTCCTAACGCAACACGTACAAAACAATCAATCACACCCACAAACAAGGGAATACACTGCCGCTACAACCTTTTGCAACAACAGCCGTTAGCAACAAGTCGTTCGGGCCAGGCTTCATATGATCCACAACGTAACTAGGCTGGACAGAGCGGTTCGCTCCACCGGCAGAGGAGAGGATAAAATGGGGCCGTGGTGGCCCGAAACGACGTCAAATGGGGCGCTGGGGGATATTTAGCTGAAATTCTGATCACCGAAGTCACTTTTAGTCGGGAAATATTGACGGTAGAGTGCTACTGATTGTGATGGGTTGGTGGTGCTGCGTCTAACCTAATGGCGCTATCAAAAACACTGAGGCTGGGACGGAAGCGCTAAGAAACAGAAGCTTGCAACCTTCCATTGATAAAATAAATATTGACATGACATCGAAATGAAAATAGCACAATCAGTCTTAGACATCGACAACTAACAATGGCCGACAAACAGACGCACACAATTACACACACAAAAAAAGACGAAAACATAGCTAACATTACGTCCCGTCACTCCACAAAAAAACAACACCCCCACATTGATCTCGATCACACCCTGTCCTTCCACCTGTTGGGTCCACACAGAGTGTCCCGTGGACACAACACACACATCACCGGGGCACCCCCACGGACCAATAACTCGCCATCTGTGACCCGTCCTGCCGCCGGGCGAGCAGAGGCCGGACTCCCACCGATCAGCACAATGGCTCCCCAGAGAAATAACGCGCGGGAGGCTCAGATCGGTAAACACAGAGAGAAAGATGTGACGGGGTGGGGGAGGCGGGGATGAATGGGAACGTATTGAAACAAATGACCGATGGGAGATCAGAGACGATGTTCGGGAATCAATGGGGGATTGGTTAAAGATGCTAGATTTCGTGCAAGAATAGCCTGAAATATGTCATGTTGGTAGATGTCCTTTTCATCATAACAATGTCCACAACATCTGTCTGAACTTCTAAACTCTTAATCAAAGAAAGCCACGATGTCGAGCAGCAGCAGCAAATGGAGGCGATCATAACGCCCAGAAAAGAATAACCACCCAGCCGTAACCCCGCTCAGCTCAGCTACCCCCTCCGACCCAGCATCCCCCCTCCCATCGACCGCTGGGCAGGCGGCCGGGCGTTTTCTCCGCTTCCTTTCCATTATCATTCGCCCGAGCCCGTTCACCGACGTGACAGGGGCTCCATTACCAATGGCCGGTGGACGAGCGCAAAACATGGGCCCAATGACCACCACACAGAATGGATGAAACTGGCCGACGATTTCTGGCTACAAATGATCCCCGCCGACATGCGAGTGTTCGTGGTGGATAGGAATAGACGGCAGGTGATCTAAAATTGGACTGAGGGCGGTATAAAAATAGACGACAGCAGGTGGAAATGGTAGCTGATGAAAGGGATAGTGCTGCAGTGTGTGGCTTAGCTGTAATTACAAACACGACTTAGAAGTCCTCTCCCTCTCCCACACTATCCCGCCCGTCTCCCCGACACCTACCGGCCTTGGCCTGTTTGTTGGCTGACTCGATGGTCTCGATGAGTGTTTTGACGCACAGTTTGCTGTCCTGGCGGGTCATGAGGCCGGGCCGGGTCTGGCGTCCGTCGGCCGGCGATTGCACGGTGCGCAGCGGGCGCCGCTCGCCGCCCGGCGACGGCGGCCCGGTGGGCGCCGGCGGGCTGGGCGGCACGGCGGCGGCGGCGCGCGCCTTCTCCAGGTCAGAGCTGAGCGCGCTCACACGCTCCCGCAGACGGTGGTTATCCAGCGCCATCTTCTCCACATGCTCCTGCGCCTCCGTCTGAGGAAGAGAAAGAGGCGGTCACAACACTGGGAGATTGGAGCGCAGAGCTCTCCCGCCTTCATATATCCATGAGGGAAAGGCAAAAGGGCCGTAAAGGGCCCTGGGGCCGCCGGGATGGAAAGCCGAGATTGCTGGAAATAGAATCAGCATGTGCGAAGGTATCATCAGTGAAGGCATATCTAAAAACATTGGAAAAGAGGTGGAAGGGACAGAAAATGATTCATGCGAAGCCAAATAAAATGTCAATTTATGCTGCCACATCAGTCGAGATCACCGATGAAACTCAATATATCCTCAAACACATGCACAGTACGCACGCAATAACACTAATAAATTTGTCAGCAACGCGACTCCAAATTGCTCATCGCAAATGTATGAACGTAAATAAGTAAACAATGTCTCATCAGACCGAGCATGTCCTTTTGTACGGGCCATTACCGCCCTCCTACGCAGCCAATATTGCGTCCTTGTCATGCTAAGATCGCCTTCATATTGCGACGGTCACGATATTGGCAATCAATAGATGTCCGTAACTCCCGTCTGAGCGCCTGGCGACTTTTCCAGCGGCGGTGACCTTCGACGGGCGGCCGTCCGTTCGGACGATAGACGTAAAGGCCGACGACGGACGGATCAAAGTAGGAGCGAGGGCCGTGTTCCAACGCGGCTGACTTACAACTATTGTCAACGTTATTTTGTTACACCAATGTTTCCACACGCAGCTTCCCAGCATCACAAAGAGCCAGATAAAATTTAGAATGGCATGGACGAGCACTTCATTCCTCAATGTCGAATGCAGTGAGTGCATTGCAAACCCATGCCATTCATTTATATTCGATGCGACGTTTCTGAGGTCGGAACACCGCAGTATGTCCGCTACACACTGCCTTCGATCGACTTGGCCCACCTTCAGGTATTTCAGCATTCAACGTCCCCGCCGTTTATCCTCCGCCAACATCATTTGGCCATCATTCCCTGCACGTCCGCGGGCAAGTCGTCAGTCTTTTCGTGTCGGCGACCTCAGCTCCTCGTCGGCAGTCGCCGGAAGCGTTCATCAGCCGACTGGACTCGAACGTGACTCGAGTCACGACGAGACTCGAGATGGGACTCGGCGGAGCGAGTCTGGGTCGAGCGCGGGTCCCCCGAGGAGGGAACGACGCTAAATCACGGCCAGGAAGGGACGGAGGGAGAATACATCCAGCATATAGACTGCGTAGCGCGGATATGGCATTTAACAGAAGAGTGTGTTCTGAGTATGATGCTCACGATGGTCACACAATCGACCCAACTCAACAATCAGCCGAATACGCTCCTGACAGCGAGCAACTGGAAAAGTTGACTACGAACGAAAAAAGAAATAACTATGAATGACCATCCTGTAGATTGTGGGCCACCATTACATGTCGTAAGCAGCGACGTTGTTGAGCTGTACTACAGCTACGCTAACCTTATAAATGGCGCGTGAAACAATGTCTACCAACTTTGGTACTACCCCAGAAATTGTGTGATTCAAGAAATTGCGTTCAGCTGTTCTAAACACCGTGAAATATAGTAGGTGTTTGTGCAGCAAGACACCTCCGAGTGTTATTTCTTAGCGGGGCACGATAAAACACTCATCCTGATTGCTTCAATACGCGGCCTGACTAAGGGCCCTGCAACTGTTTGCTGGCATATTACTTTGCTCGAACTCCAACAAACAAGTTTCAAACTCATAACCCAGCATTTTGCACAAGATACACGGATGGAGTCAGCAAACGAAAATGACATTCGAGTGACACCAAAGTTTGCCGAACAAATTCAAAGTCAGGACGCCGCCGACTGGGATGAGCTTTCTAAGAAGCGCCTGGCGAGGGCGACCTTTTCTGACCCAGTTGGTCTGTATGACAGCGTCGCTCCTCTCCTCTGCCTGAACGACCGGCTCGCTCCGGAACTCTCTCTGTTCGTTCCAACTCTCACTAGGCCGGACCGACTGCTCAAGACAATAGTCTTCTGTCTCTGGCCACTCATCTACAGTCTACACAGTTTGCATTTTGCACATACGTCTGTTGGCTTCACGTTCCACAATGAAGCTAAAGGGCGGATTAATTTTAAAGGCGCACGAAATGTAAAGGTCACCAGCGCCCACTTAAAGTCCAAGTGTCTTTGCCCGTCCACGTCTTGTTCTTCATTCATTCATTCATTTATCCGTTCGTGGACCTCTGTCTCCACCCGTTCGTCTGCCCGGTGTCGGAGCAGATCGATCGCCGGCCCGGTCACCTCCTCTATAGCCCTCTCGAGGGCCACTCTGGGTCGGCCGACCGTCCTCGGCAGCCATTCCTCCTGCCGCCACCCCGTGGCTCCTACCACCGACCGCAGTATGTATATGATATTTCACTTTAATTCAGAGTACTTAATTTAATACGACATACGATACGGTACGGGTGCATCACTACCATTAAATAAATCAATGCTTTAGTTACCTCCCAAGCGTCTTCCAGGATCCCTTTGAGAATCAACCTCTAAAATAGACTCAGATTCCCATAGACTCCCCACACGTTGCTAGGACGGTCGGGCCCGGCAGTGTTCCTTGCAGCTCACCAGCCAGTGGTCACATTTTCTAACTAACCGCGGCTCCGGCGAGAGTATAAATCACACGGGGGTACGTGATGCCGATAAATTGACACCCATCTGTCACTGCGGCCAGCCACAGACAGCCTCAAACCGGGGCTACGGTCGCCACACAGCCTCTAACCGGGGCAAGCTGAAGACAGCCTGCCAACAGGGACGGCAGAGGCGTCTGGCGGATCACATAGTGGGGGAGGGCCGGCCTGGTTCGGTCGGGCTGTGGGTTGGTCGATACCCCACTAGTCGTAGCCGATCAGCCAAGTAGATACCCAAGTCGCTATAAGGAATTATTTTCCGAAATCCGGCTCAATACTCTCCCGAGGAAAACTTTTGCCGGAGCGCTTTCGAGTGTGCGTCACTGCAATGCTGCTGAATCTCCAGCTTTTCGCTGCGATCAATTCAGTGAGCGAAGACGAGTACCTCTCCAATTTTTTATTTTGCTGGAGCTTTCATCCTTCCCACCATTCTATCCTTCCACATTCTTTCGGCCTTGAGCAGTCCTTCACCTGCCTCTATTCTCCAACACACCCACGGCACCCCACTCATTATTCTTACTCTTTCAGCACCCCACTCCCTCCCTCTTTCTCTCTCACCCTGAAGTCGTTGGCGACGCGGACGGACATGAGCAGGTCGGCCTGGAACTGCGCCCATTCCTCGCACGCCTGGCGGTGCTTGTCGGTGGCCTCGGCCACGTCCGCCTCCAGACAGCGCACCCGTTCCTGGAGCTCGGCCGCCCGCTTCTGCTGCTCACTCAGACTGGCCTGGGTAGCGACAGGGGGAGGGAGTCAAAGTCACAACGGGTGGATCGGACAAATCACAAAACAGAAAGTCGGGTACAACACTTGGCCGGGCTACCTAACAGGCTATAAGGGGTCTGTTAAAATTAACATAAGAGGAAGAGAGAGTGAGCCGTTTACCTGCTAGGAGTTAAGCGACATACTGGCACCCGATATGCCAACCGAAAAGTGTTTGCAGTACACCCATAAACGGCTGGCGACTGGAGAGGAAACTCCTCCCTCACTTTATCATTCTTCAACAGCCTCGTATTTATGTCATTTTGAGAATGATTATCATCAACAGTCCAAGAAACAAATGATACGCATCGCCGCGAAGCAGTTCGAACCATCCATCAATAACCCAATACTTTCCTCCGACTGCAAATCCCAGAACGCATCACTAACCACCGACCACACACCCGCCACCTATGTTCCTCTCCCAGTACCTTGAGTTCTCGTTTGTCCTCCAGATGGCTCTGGCAGGTGGCCTCCAGCTCGAGTATGGACTGCTGCAGCTGCTCTGAAGCTGCCACAACAGCTGCCTTCTCCTCAGCCAGCTGGTCGTACCGGTACTGGGCGTCACTCAGCTCCTTCTTGGCGTTATTCTTGGCCACCTGACAGGGGAGAAAAACACACGGTCAAGTAGCTGGGAGGCGTGAGCTGAGCGGTAGTTCATGTTATCTATGGCTGAGCACATCAGCCAGCTGGATGATGCGACTCTAGAAGTGAGTGGCTTCTGCCATTAGCGATACTATACACAGCGTAATCAGATGAAGCAGTCAGGTTGAATCAGCATTCCGACACACAAAAGAACGCAATTAAAGTATTCAACATCAGAAAAAAATAATCAAACAGACATCAACGTAGTTTCTCATTCACTTGACCAACGCCTAGCTAGCAGAAGTTAACAGCCAGCATGAACTGCATTCACTCCCCATAACAATGTAATCATCATCCAGTCTACGCGCAGACGGCAGAAACGCAACACGTCCGTTCCCCACCCAATGGCCCAACATGACGCTCATCCCAGAGCAGCAGAGAACACATTACTGTCACTGCAGGCAAGACCCAGACCCCTGGGAGGGGCCAAACGGGCTCAGACGCCGCCGCGCCGGCCCATAACCCGACCAAGTACACCTCCGGGAGGGGTGGCCTGGCTATCCTGCTGCCGCTCATTAAATAATTCATGTGTAGTCGAGGAAGCAGACCCTACTGGAGACCTCCTCCTCATTACCCCATGCACGAAACTGGCAGTCGGACACATGCTAGACATTAAAACTAGCCACTTACTTATTATTTCTCATGACTGTCCTCTTGCTTATTGCGAACCATTGACGATTAAGAGGATTCCTAGCTGTTCTCAAATAATTCTACCATACCATACCATCACGCTAAAGGGAAGGCAGCCCGTCACCCATCTCTCACCTTATTCTCCTGCTGTAGTGATGCCACCTGCTCCTCGAGAGTGGCCTTCTCGCACTGGGCGCGGCTGACAGTCTCCTGGAGGCGGGCGGCACGCTCGTCCACCCTGTTCTTCTCCTGTCGGACGGCGTCCAGCAGCGCCTCCAGCTCGGACTTGTTGTTGGCCGCCGCCGCCTGCTGCAGCTCGGCGATCTGACGGGACGATGGGGGCAGGGTGAGGTGCCAGTGTGAAGGCGAATGGGCTACGCGCAATGAGAGTTTAGTTTTTTTTTTTCAGAGCTGCAGTGTGCCAGAGGGTGCGCTGTGAAGGAGCCACTGCAGTCACTGAGTGAGTGATGAGCGGGGCCTCGATAGGCTATAGAATTGGGAGGAAAAAATCAAAGTGATTTGAGTGAAATGATACTGATTTAAAAAAATTGTAAAAAGAAGGAATTAGCATGGCATAACCAGGTCAACTGTGGCAGAGCGCTGAATGTGCCAGTGTGCCATGTAAAACGGTACATAAGGTTGTCCTAAACACAGTGCATGTTGCAATACTGCAAATAAAGTGCAACGTCTTCAGCACCGAATAGCTACATTGCAGCGTGCCCTTATGCATTTGTGCTGAAGCTGACCCAACTCAAGTACACCGCCATCCAAATCAGCTCATCTGGCTCGTTTCATAATTACAGGGTGTAACGAAATTATCCGGACATCTTTCTTCGCGCTGTAATTAAGAAGCAAGCCAATCTGATATTTTCCCTTTTGAATTATTATATAGCCACCTTTCATAAAAGCGCAGGTACAAATTTTTGGAGCATTCCCGCCACTGGGTTTTCCAGCACAGTGGGTTTCATATAGAGTAGCGCCTTACTAACCTGTGCCCACAGTTGGGCGGCGCTGGTGGCAGGTGTCCCCTCATTCATTCCTGCTGGACAATATAGTCTATAAGATATCGATGGAATTGCATGGAAACTATTTCCAAAGCCCGAACCCTTTAGCCCAGAAGAAAAATAGGTCCTCTCGGCATCACTTCTCATTCTGCTAGGGGCTTGAAGGTGGTGCGCCGCCCCGCATGAAGACTGCGCGGCTTGAATCAGGCATCGGTACACGTTCAGAAACCGAGCCCTCTTGTGCCGTCTGGTTGAGTGGCTCCAACCAATCGCTAGCCAGGATGTTGCGCCAGTAATACTCGTCACTGATAGTGGTTTTCTGTGTCGTCATGAGCAACTTGAATATTACACAGCAGCTGAACATGCTCCAGGTCTGGATTTTGCCCGGATGTTTGACGCCGGCGACGGCCGGCACATTCGAGCTGCTGGCAGCCCACACATGGCCGATTTGACGGCTCAACGGATATCGCAGCTCGAACAGATTCCCATCCGACCAGGCCATCTCATTCATGTCTTCCTTCGACCAGTGGACACGCCCTGACCTGAGGCCAAAGGTGGTGGACTGGTTGTTTTCCCGTCGATTCCATTGTCTTTTTCAGTTTGAAGGGTAGTAAAACCAAGCTAAAGGGCGGGTAACGGTGAATCATGATATGGGACCTCTTATTATCTGCCTTGGTAAGAATTCGAGTCAGTTTGTGGATTAATTGGTACCCTTTCCTTGTCGCTATCTTGACAACTCTCCTCACCACTTGGCAGAGGGCACCTTTTGCGATCGAGGCCGGGCTGACTCTGCCACCAAGTCCCATCTTATTACGCCTCAGGCAGATGTGCTACTGGCTGCTGCTGATGTCCAGCTGCTGACAGACCAGCTTCTGACTCATGCCACCATGCCACCAACACGTATAGCCTTGCGATCTAAGCGATCAAACTGAAAATCAGCCACCGCTCCTATGACCCATCCGGGCCAACCCGGGACCGGCCTCTTTGACTGGGGCCGGTCGGCCGGCCGGGCGTGCGGGGCGCCGGCACTACAAGTCGACGGCTCGCACGTCCGGCCGGTGGATAGGGGGCGCCGCCCGCGATACCCCTTCGCCGGGCGGTGCGGGCGGTGGCTGATGACCCGCCACCGGAAATCGCATTCCATTAACATCCTTCAAAATGTTTCCATCCTTTTGTACAATGCAATTCCTATAGCGTGCGCGATGGTGTCGAGGGGCTGGACGGGTGGCGGCGGGGTGGGTGGGGTGGTGGCGCCATCTGCCCGACCCCCAATTGTGCCGTCTAAGCTGAGAAGCAGAGCTGAGTGAGAGTCTGGCCCGCCTCCGCCGTCCGTGCTGTCGTGGTTCGTCTCGCCTTTCCGTGCTGCCGTGGCCGGCCGCACCGCGGCCGACGCGTCCGCCCAGGTTTGTTTCCGCCGCCGCTATGAAGATGGCACCTTCACTGATTTTCCCGGACGAACGAACAAGGGGAAGTATGTAATGCATGTGTATTATGTATGAAGTAGATATAGGTATGTAGGTCGTGTATGATTCGAAATGTGGTGCATCAAATAAACAGTGATGAAAAAAAAACACGTATAGCCTTACTACGAAACGAGAGACTGTACTCCCTTCTCTCCACTGCCTTAAACGAAAACTATCAAATGAACCCGTCGGCGACTCGACTCTTACTCAGAGCAAGAGTCATTTCGCAAGGTCAGGTCACTGCTGAGTTGAGAGCAGATACCAGAGGTATGCATTCATCTGATTTTCCAGCTTCTCACATTAAAGAAGAAACTGTGCGAGCAGATATGGCGAAAAAATAGATGTCCGGATAATTTCGTTACACCCTGTATGAGCTATCAAAGTGACACCCAACCCAGCCCCGAGACCACAGAAGCGCACACGCCAGTTGTGATTGAGCGCGTTCGGGCGGAGCACACAATCAACACAATCAGCATGTGCGCAGAGGCAGACCGTCGGCACGGGCAGATGCTCGGTGCAGAGGTCAGCTGCACGGAGGATCAGTGGGGCAGTGCTGGGACTGTGGCTCGGTGTTGGCAGACGAGCTATGTGACTCACTGGGATGGACTGAGAGACGTACCGACGCAGAGCGGTCCGAGCAGCACACAACACACAGCGGTCAGGATAGAAAACACACACACACACACACAAAACACAGTGGCCGCGGCAGGGTAGATCATATAAATAATCATACCAGAGACGTGCCGAGGCAGCACACACCTATAGGCACATGTTTACACACAACACAGTGGTTAGGGCAGGGCGCGCAAATGGCCGTACCAGGGTTGTACCAAGGCAGCACACACAAATGCACAGACAGGCACGGGACGGATACACACAACATGCCGCGGTCAGAGTTGCACCCAAGGACTACACACATACTTTAAGAGACACACCACAGACACATCGTGCAAACAAATCAATCAGTGCGGGTACACATCAATAACGTGAATCATAAACCATGCAAAATAGCTGCTGCCGCGACGGATATAAACACAGACTGGTAGAACAAAGGACGTGGCACCACTGCAATTTTTTTCAACATAGCAGGATGATGGACATGGATTTAGCACGTTTATTTTACAAACAACTGGAAACTACATGGGCTTTGAGAAAGAGGCTCAAAAAATAAGACAGGGACTTATCATACAAAAATAACTCAACCGGAAATTGGCATCGAAATCCGCAGAGGGGATAAACAATTGTAACGGCAAGCAACACGCATCCACCATCAGAACACGCCGCCTCCCCCGTCCCTCTGGCGGTCCGCACCTTGCTGTTGGCGCTGTCGAGCAGCTCCTGCACACGATCTGCCTCGATCTGCGCGTGGCTGGCCTCGTGGCGCGCCTCCTGCAGCTGGCCCTCCACCTGGCGCCGCTCGGCCGTCGCCGCCTCGACCGTCGACTCGAGCAGGCGCAGTCGGTCCTGGAGGGCGGCCTTCTCCGCCTCGTGCGCGGCCTCGGCCTCCCGGCGCGCCTCCAGCTGCTCCTGGAGTCCGTCCAGACGGGACTGCAGCGCGTCCCGCTCGGCGTGGGCGCCCTGTGGGGTAGGGGGGAGCGAGGGTGTTAGACAGGGCAGGTAGTGAGGGGCGCACGGACAGCGGTCAGCTATTCAGAAAACAGACTTAAATACCGACTAGCTGTAGATAGAATCAGACAGCTAATTGAAAACACTTTGGTGTCATAATTCGTAGATAAGTGCCTAATGTAAGCTCATAGCATCCTAAATTATACAAAATAAAATACCAAAATAAAAACAGAAATTACGAGGTTATTGAACCACGGACTGCACATAGTCAGTTCACGATACAAAGACCAGCCTGCAGCCCAGCCCAACTGATTAGCTCACTGGGCACGTTTGGGGCGTGCCGATATTTAGACGATCGCCTCGACACACCCTCACCAAAGAGGCACTATCAGCCACTGGATGAGGCATAAAACGGCTACCATCGGACCAACACATGACTCAGCGGCCTCTACAAGGTCAGCTGAAGAAGATCCTGCAGTGGGAGCAATGACGCTCACCGAAATAGCAACACCTGAGCGTGATACAGCGTGATACAGGGGTCACTAATGGGTCCAAAATTGTTTTTACTTTTTACTAACGACCTTATGTCTCATTTACCCAGTGGCAAGCAGGTCATGTACGCCGATGACATTCAGTTTATTGACTCTGATACGGTTTCTAATTTGGACGACCTAAAACGGCGTATGGAGTGTACTTTGGAGGTGGCTCTCCGATGGTACACCCAGAACAGGCTAAAAATCAACCCAACTAAGACTGAACTTTGCTAGTAAAGCCGCAGAGAAAAATATGTAGTGCAAATTTTACTATTGACTTTGGCATTTGCGAAATTAAACCTAGTCACGAGATCAAAATTTTAGGCGTGTTCTTTGACTCTTCACTGACCTGGGAGAAGCAGGTGTCGTTGGTGACCCGCCGCTGCTACCATGTACTAGTCGGCCTATCTAAGTTGAGACATAAGCTACCGTATGAAGTAAAAAAGATGCTTATCGAGGCCCTTGTATTCCCCCACATAATGTACTGTTGTACCGTCTGGGGAGGCTGCTGCGCAACCCAGAGGCGACGTGTGCAGAAGGCCATTAACTTCGCGGCGCGCATTGTAACAGGACTGTCTAAACGCGACCACATTAGCGCAGCTCTGGAAGCTCTCGAATGGCCGAAGTTTGACAAGATGTTGGAGGACCGAGACATAGCGATGCTGCGTAGGATTCTCTCGTCGGATGCGCCGCCATCTCTAGCTGGACTCGTGATGCGTCGCTCTGATGTGAATAGGAGGCTCACTCGCGGCACATGTGGGGATCAGCTGGACCTGCCTAAAATTAGAACAGAGCGAGCCAGGCGTACTTTTCATTTTAGAGCAGTAAAATCGTGGAACGGTCTCCATCGTTAGCTTTCTGGCAAACAAGCTGTGATGTATTTTGTGATGATTTTTTTTTTGCGCTGCTCACTTTTATTTACTTTGTCTACTTTTTACCCGCGTATTTTGCATTCTTAACTTCACATTTTGCCATCTGAGTATCTTACTGGTACAGACGATTCTCTTTACTTTTATACTGTGCGTCATTCTTATTGATGTGTGTTTTATACCCACTTGTAGTTTTATAGATTGTGAATGATTGTATGACGAGAGCACTGAAAAACCATTCACATGGAGGACTCAATACATGATTGATTGATTGATTGATTGATTGATTGATTGATTGAGCATGACTCTCACTCAGATATGCATATCATACGCATCAATGAAGCGTTAATCAATAGAGTGGAACCGGAGCTCGAATCCTCCCATACATCCGAGTCATAACTTTTACGCGGCGTCCGTGGGGAGTTCAATACATCATCAGATTACCTCACCCTTCAACCCTGGACTACCCCGGATCCACCTCCCGGCATTGTGCCTTCCACAGCCTTCTCTGTGTCTACCTTACAGTCTGTTTTCTCGTCCTGTCCACCCTCCACCATCTCCAACCCACCCGCCCTGCGCGATGGACCGTGTCGGACGGAGCGCCATCTGGTCAAACATCTGCCTCATCTGTCCAGCAGCCGGTACCCGACAATTTATCGGGTCACCGCCTACAGAGGTCACCGTCCTAGCACGGGTCACCAACCCACGTCCGCGGGTCACCGATGACCGGAGTAAGTAATCGTAGGGAAGGGTAGATTGCCGCCCGTACCTACCTCCTAGGTCTAAAAACTCCTGCCACCGCCCATTGCTCCTCATGAAAACCCCCTAAACATGGTCACCGCATTCCTGGCTCCTTCAACATGACTCGGGTCATCGCCCTATTATGGGTCACTGGTTTCCCAAGTCGCTGATCCACGGAAGACCGCCCTATCCTAAGCCACCGCTCGCACAGCTGAGACACACGAACCGCTTCGGTGAACCGAGACGGAACACCGGCCGGCAGCCGGACAGAGTTTGAGGACGAGGCCTTTACAAACTAGTACCCCACAGAACGGAGACAAAAAAGCATACAGCGTGGAAATGGGACGGCGTTCATCTAACTGCCTCTAAAAACTATTGTCGGGTCAAATATCTACCACACCTCACTTCGTAGACAAAACGTCTTTTTCCACAGAAGACATAGCTTGCCATATAACCCTTCTGAATGACAGCCTACATCTCACTCATCCCGTCTCCCCACCACCCGCACCGACCACCACGCGCCCGCCTACCTTGATCAGATCCTGCAGCATGACCTCCCGCTCCTGCAGTTTGGGCCGGTCGGCCTCCTCCTTGATGAGCAGCTGTCGCAGCTGCTGCACCTGCTGCTTCGAGTCCTCCAGCCGCTCTGTCTGCTCACAGAGCGACTCGAACAGCACGGCCTTCTGCTGGAGGAGCTGCTTGTTGTCGTCCTGCAGGGCGGCCAGCTGGTCCTGCAGGTCGGTCAGCTCCTGCAGGGTGGCCTGCAGCTCCTCGTTGGTGCTGTGGTGCGTCTCCTCCATCTGCGTGATACGGTCCTGCGGGAGGGGAGGGGAGACGGGGTTAGATGCGAGGTACAAGGGGAGAGATGAGGGAGGATCCATGGAGATAGAAGATATGAGGAAAAATAAATGAGAGTAAGAGAAGACTAAATGAGAGCTGCCATACAGTTGGGAAAATAAGAAGAAACTTTGGATGAAATATGGTAGGGGAAAGATGCACGCCATGCCCATTAACAAAGTATACGGTATGCACTATGACGACAGCACTGTTTAGTGGTTATGAATGACACTACTTAATTCAATGTCAACGAACATACATATACCAGACAAACATCTCGCGGCATCAAATAAACGTCAGTGGAAAATGCATATGACGTATTCCATGAGGGACATGACTCATATAGGCGACCACTTACGGATAACTATGCACCAATGATAAATATCTAGCAGTCCTCTAGCATGTTTCACGTCAACAACTCACATAGACCTTAGAATCATGATTTGGTTGGCGCGCCTCACTAACAGGTAGGACGCCCAGACGATTTTTATGGCCTCATAAATCAGCTCGCAGAACGATAAGTGCCAGAGAACGTTTAATCTGATCCATCAATGTGAAGCCATAAAACCTACAGAGGACATTCGGATGATTGTCGAATGCCAGCGAGGCGCCGGATAAACAATCTCGTAAGCAGCATGTCTGAGAGTTGAGACATCAGCACACACCTAACAGAACAGGTCTGGACGAGGGTGAAATGGTCATTCAATGGACAATGAAATGGTGAAAGGCCAGGTCAGGTCGGGTTGGCATGGGCACGACAACTTTCATGACATCAACTTTCGTGTCATACCCAGGCGGATCATAAATGCTTAACCAGTCAGTCATCGCTGATTTGAATCCCTAAGCACTTAAACATCGCAAGATGTTTAGAAACAGCTAATGCGTTACCGCGGGGTTAAATGTCATTAGATTTATTTGAGAAACCCCGCACGATTATTCCAGCCAGTGAAGGGGAGAGCGACACGAAATGGACTCTCGGCGGTTACATCAGAGCGCGCAACATGGCTCTCGGCAGCACTATGACCCGGGGCACTCCCCGTCATAAATAACGCTAACACTATCGAACGACCTCTACTAGCTAGGGCTCCCACGACATCGAAAGACGCGGCTGATGGAACCATACGACACCGAGAGACGTTTAATCGCACCATTCATCGCGTGTCTGACTTGCAGCCGACGGCAGAGATGGACCGATGTCCTACTTACATTCCACAGGTTGCCGCCTCATCGTACTCTGCACATGGACTGGAGGAGCGGGAGGAAGGAACAGAAGAGAGAGGAGAGAGAGAAAGAGGCCGATGGATATAAAGAAAAAAAAACAAGAGGAAGGAAGGGGAAAGGAAAATAAAGGAGAAGAGAGCAGAACAGAGAAGATAGGAGAGAGGAGCGATGAGAATAAAGTCCTGTACCTGAACTCGCAGAGAGGAAACTCTCTTAATTCGGGAGACTTAGTTACCTGCCTGCAGAGACGGGAAGGGAGGGTCGGAGACTATACCTGCAGATCGGCGACCGAGTACTCGGAGATGGAGCTGCTCGACTGTTTGTCCCAGTCCGGTGTGTGAGGGGTGTCAGCCATCAGGTCCTGGGACGCCGAGCGGCCCAGCTCCCGGCCCTTGTCCTGCGGACACAGCGGACAGAGACGGTCAGAGGGGGCGGACACATGGAGAGGTCCAGTTAGAAACACAGGGTAGACAGGACGGTCAGACAAACGCCATGGGCAATATAGACAGATACCAGATTCCTAAATGGAGTCAGACTCGTGCAGATGGGGCAAGGACCCGATGCACACGGACAGCAGACGCATGAGACCAACAGAGGGATCAAAAGTTCCAGTCGGCACAATACAATACACATGAATCTAGGTGATATTTGCCAACAGTCACAGGGCTCCTGAGGGACAAAGCAGCACGCTACACACCGTTATGACGAACCCCGCGGTGTCAGAACACTGGGGGTAAAATGAACAGCACGACATATCTCGTGAAAACATGGCCCCCTATTTCGTGAGCCCGTGTCCTAGCGGCCTTTCGTGATGGTATGTCTCACTGCGGGCCGTACTGAGAGGCTGGTCAAGAACAAATAAACACCCAGATTATGGAAATAACACACCGAGCTATAAGCTCTGTCGGGGTATGGGTCTTGAAAACACCCACTGAAACATACTCCGATCACATGAACAATAAACACACTCCTTTCCCGAAGTTTGTATTATGTCAACCCAATGCAACCCCTGTTTTGTTGTTTGTCTTAGAGGCGAATATTGGACGTTCAACATAGGTGATCGTTCAAACAGTAGGGTAGATTTGGCAAACAGTGTCGCTGCGGCTACATGAACTGGCACCAGTCATACATCTCGGAGACTCCGTCTCATCAAGCACGAGACACGTAAGGAGAAGGCGCCAACCATTTTCCCAGGTCACCCACTCTATCCAGCCCATCTAATGGAATGTGTCTCTCCCCTCCCCACCATCCACTAGCATTCCTCTCCCCTGCAGCCTCCCTCAGACCACAGAGGCCCCAGCAGCCCAGCGCACGGCCCAGAGCCGGGCGGGCGACCTCACGTAGCCACGGCTCGTGACACCCCCTGCCGTCCTCCCTCCCTCTACCCCAGCTCTCCCACTCTGCCCGGTCAGACGACAGGCGACAAAAACCACCAATAACGGCATCAGACACAAGCACAAATGGCCGCCCACTAGACACCGAGATAAACCCATGACAGGGGAAACTGTGACACCTCGCGCCAGGTGACACCTAACACTAATCTGTGTCGCACCAAGAAGGGAGGACAGCGATTTAAAAATGGCATCAGAGCCAGCGTCAACGTGCAAAATTACATCTTTAGGAGTTATAGATTGTGACTGAGACCTATAACTGATAACATGAATCACAAAGTTGAGCCTTCCTGATCTTCCAATAAGTGTTCTACAGATCAAAGAAAGCTGTTCGAGGAAGGCTGTTCCCGATCATGTCTCTGTTTACACCGATCATTCACAGTATATTCACGGTCTCACACCGTCTTGCTAACTACGCATATCGTGCGCGCTGCCTGGTGTGTGTGTAAGTACGAGACGCACTGACAGGATACAGGGAGTGTACTGATTGGGAGCGGCCGGTGCCGCAGATAACGACACGACAGACCTGTCTGGTTCAGAGGACAGTGGCTGAGGCTGGTCTGTGGGGCTGTGGAGGTCAGTGATTACAGAACTCACATCTCCAGTGATGGAGGCGGGCGCCGAGCACGAGCAGCGCACGCCCCGGTCCCGCAGCAGCTGCTTCTCGGCGTCGCTGATGGGCGCTCCGGCAGCTGCCGGCGGCTGCTGCTGCTGCTGCTGCTGGAGGCGGCCACGCAGCGCGGCGTTCTCGGCGCGCAGCAGCTGCAGCTGCTCGGCCAGCTGCGGAGCGGCCGAGTCGGCAGCTGCCGGCGGCCCGCCGCCGCCGCCGCCGGGCGGACCCTCGGCCGAGGGCAGCACCTGGTCCTGCGGGCAGATAGAGACGGACGGTCAGTAATGCTTGGTTCGGAGACAGACAGTTAAGAAGCGATTTCTAGGTGCAAAAACAAGTCGCATGATACTTTGATGCTGTTCGAACTTTGAATACAGTTTGATAACAAGCCACGAAATTAACACAGCGTTTGCGGTTCGAGATGTGGCCACCACACGACTTCTTGCTGGCAGAGATAGACCACAGTAGATTCAGATAAAACACGGCCATGTTTATCACAGCCCGTCCATTCCCACTGCTCTAACCGACCACCAGCAGCGCCACGCTCCTCCATAACACCATGTGAATGTTTACACAAGCTCAGGTCAGCGAGAGCACACGCCGCCACAAAACTACCCGACACACTCCGGGCCGGGTCGGAACCTTTGCTCCCGCGCCCGGCAACCGAAATCATAACCGTCAGCCGCCGCAGACCCGCAAACATCTCGGCTAAACATCGCCCGATCGCTGTCTGTCGCCCCTGAGTCAGCGTCAGCGCGGTCCACGCTAGCTCCCGTTCCACCTTATAAGGGCCAGGCCGAGCGCACGCCGCCGCGACACGCCACGCGGTCCACGCGACTCCTCGCCGATCGGTCCGCCTTATTCTGGCACCTTCCTCGGGTTTCCACCCTTGCTATACGAACCACATAAGGTGCGGGTGGAGGGATGGGCGCGAGCCACGCCCCGGGAGCGCCAGAAATGGGCGATACACAGCCGGCAAGAAGTGGAAAACGGTACCGCAGAACGGGCCCTCGGGTGTGGCCGGGAGTGGTGGTGTATATAGGGTGGCGTTGTTTACCAGTGATGGTATCGGCACTGCTCGCACGCACGCCACAGCGCCGACATGTGGTTTAGGATGTTCGGTTCGTAACGAATAGCACGTCGACCGCGATAGCGGGAGTGACAAGGGTGGGACAGTCAATGGCGCCACCACCCATTGATAAACATATTGCAGAAACCAGAGTGTTTGTACATTTTCCGGCAAGTGGTGATGACTGTACCCGGGAATTGTTTGTATACTTCGATCGTGACAGCACACTGATAACATTGTCCATTTATTAGTACGCACCGTTCTGGGAAGCGGTATTCACTGTCTCAGAATTTCACCGGACACCAAAAGCTATAGGGTACCGTCAGAGCGGTAAGTGCAGCTCAGGGTGTCAGCTAATTCCGACGCCAGTACGCTGGCTGGTCGATAACCGCGGCGCCACCGAGCCACCCGCTCCGGAAATCCCAGTCACTCAGCCTTATGACAAACCAAACCAGACATCAACGAATACCCAGTAACCAGTCTGTCACAACTACACGAGCATTGATGATAGATGACCAACTTACAGATATTGCATGATTTGTACTAAGGGTTCAGAGGAGACGAGGTCCTGTATAGCGATGCAGGGGGCTCGGTGGGTTTACCATGGTATATTCCCACTGGATCTCAGTGGATCTCAGGGGATCTCACCTATCGCTACCCCGCTCCGGTCGGGTGAGCACTATGCAGCGACCGTGAGCGGTGGAACGCACGGCTGCAACCCTGCACAGGAACTGGGATCGGTGGCAGGGGTACGTCCGGTCGGCAGAGGGGAACAGAGCCCAGAACCCTGGCCGTGCTTCACCCGACCGCGGTATAGCGGTTGGTAACCAATCCCAACCACAACCGACTCAGGGCGATCAGCCCAGTCACACAAACCGCCGATCGCTAACCAACGCTGACCACCGAGATGGTTGACAGCGCACACAATCAATGTCGGGATAAAACGACCTCCTACAACACATAGCATTGTCTCCCGATGCTAAACAAACCACTCGAGCGCGCCATAAATTCATCCCCAAACACATTCACTCTCCAGCAAGACACACTAGATTCTATCCCGAATACCAATACGCCTTCTTCGAATGGCAGCGCTCAGTCGAGCCCACGTCGACACAGCCATCAGCTAATTGCATTCGCTGTTGGAGGCAGGGCATACGAACGACCGTCGTGCCACAGCAATTTACTCCCGACAGTCATCTGGCTCACTAGGATCAGATCCACTGCCGGACAATCCGTCCCCCGCCCCCGCCAGACGGGTCGGAGCGGCCCTTTGACGTCGGCATCCTGCAATGCCGACGGCGCCCTTGCAGACCCTTTCTGGCCCATAAAGACCAGCATGGAGCCTCATCAATATTGAACGGCGCCATACCATGAAGGTAGGGCTGGGGCGGCGGGGCGGGGGCGGAGGGGTGGCGATAGGGTGAGGGCGGATACCAGCTGCAGCGGGGCGAGCAAACCAACACCCCACACCGTGTTCCGTGAACCAACAGTCAACGCCCACTGCCGTGGAACCTAAAACCCAGAACCATAGACCGGAGTTGGCCGAGATAATGGAAATATTCAGCGCTATTCGCCCGTTTGGCGCCCACGCATGCCTTCTAATCGCTTCCAGTTATCCTAAGAACACAGCACACCATCCATCTCAGAGTTCCGAAAGTTAAACCATCCACTCAAGAGCTGGAACTCCCCATGGAGGTAAGCGAGAACAGAAACCACTACTGTCTTCGAGACGATATCCGTTTCCAAATTGCCATGGATTGTCATCCTCTCGACATCGGCTGACAGAACTCTCAGCGACCGGCGCTCACCTCCCGGTGTGTCCTGGAGAGGATGGGGCGGGGCGGGGCGAGAGCAGACACGTGAGAGACTCGTGACCGGCGCTGAACACCGAAACCAGTCGTGCCCGTCACGCACGACCGGTCTGAGCTCGAATACTCACGACCGCCGCATCGTATTGTCAGGGAGTTCGTGAAAAACACCGGAGGCTTCCTACCATGACAATTGCATGGAAGTTCTCAAGACAGCGGTAAATCGAATTAAGTGCATCGAACCGGGAATGCTCACGGTTTCTCGATCAGCTAGTGTTTTCGATGTGGCGAGCGTGTATGGAAATGGGGAATTCGTTTCTTAAAAAATTGCGTCCAAGTGTGAACGGTTTGCGAGCTGAGCCAAGCAACATCGGAAGTAAGTCCGGACCAAAATCCCCAAGAAACTGAAAGAAGAGCATGCATAAATTTAAAAAAAAAACTGTCAGGCAGAGGAAACCACGACTGCCATGGGTTCACACATGCGTTTGACGCCCTTAGCCGACAAATAACCGCGACAAAACCAGCCACACCTTTTAACCCGCGAGTTGCTGGGGGGGGGGGGGGGCGTTAAACGCCCCCACTTTTTTTCGCCGGGCCATAGCATAAAAACGGCGCGCCGCAGGCGCGCCAAATTTTGGGTACCTGTAGGGAATTGATTGAAGTGTATTGTGACAAAGTTTCAAAAAAATCGGTCGGAAAATTTTTGAGATATCGAGGTTTTAGTGACGTCATGATTTCTGAGTTTTCGGCCAAAAACGGCATATGTTCAAAAAATCATATAAAATCACAGAATAGACATACAGACATGCCGTAAACGCCATTAGACTGCCAATACCATGAACAATCAAATGGCTATCTTCGATTATTGATTACCGTTCCGCATTTTCCAAAATCTTGAACTGAATCTTGGCAATTTCTCGTGACTACTTCACGACCATGATACATGCATTTCTTAAACTGAACTTTTTAAGCCAAACACGTACACATATGATAAAATGAATGTCACCATCGTGTTCTACGCTCCAAATTACCCATAAAACATGTGTCACAGGCTGCGAATATCAGTTTTGATTTTCGGGGATATGTGCCTACCCGGTTGACCTGACCTTGACCCTGACCTATGCTTGACTGACCCCTACATGGAGCTGACACTCTTGTAGGCCTTATATGATGGATTGCGCACCGTTTTGACAGAGTTTATGACGAGAGGCGCCCATTGCGAAGTCCTGAAGTCCATGCTACTGAAAGCCCGATTTCAGGTGTTTGACCTGACCTTGACCCGACCTGTGACCTCAAAATTCAATTTTAAAGTACTCATCTGAAGCGTCTCGTCGCGTTCTTTCGTTTGCCGCCTCGTGCGTTTCGCTGCGCCTATTGGTTCTCGAGTTATCGGCTGGGGGCGTTTAACGCCCCCCCCCCCAGCAAACGGTGGGTGGCGAAATACCCCAGCAACTGCCGGGTTAAGGCTCCATCCCCGTCAACCACTCATCCTCCTCCGAAATCAGCGTGAGTCGCCGGCCGCTGAAACACGGCCTGGTTTCCCGGAGCAGCCGCCGTCCATCGTCCTTCAGTGCGTCACCGGGACGGAATTCGAGCCGGCGCGTGCGGCGACGCGCCGTGCAACATGCGTGCAATACGGCAGCCCGGAGCAAAACCAATCATCAGCGCAGCTCGGGTGTGAATATTCAGCACGTGCTGTGACAGGCATAGGTGGGTGTATACTTAGCCAGGGCAAGGGGTTCAGCACACAAGCGTCGCAGTTCGTAAAGCCGTGTAGATATTTACCACCGACAGTTGAGGGAGCGCCGGGCTGTGACTTTGAAGAGGATTGCGCAGCGGAGGCAGTGTAAAGGGGACTACGATGTACGAACAATGGACGGGAGCTGACAGCATTGCTGGTGACAGTGTGTCGTGGCACCCCAATTTGTCTGTTTGAGTTTGTCGTGGTGTCTGGGACCATCCTCCGAATATAGTGAGGATGGTGAGGCTGTGGCGGAGTGATTAGAGTGTCCACTCATGACGGTGAGACGTTGAGGCAGTAGGACAATGAAGCGGTGTTTGGGGGCAGCGACTGGTGCGGAGGTGGCAGAAGCCGACCTCCCCGCTCCGCCCGGCCGACGTATGCCCCCTCACGTCCTGTTCGGCCCCCGGCCGTCGGAGAGCTGTAGGGCAAAGGTCGGAAGGTGCAGACGGCGCCGACAGGACACAGGTCGAGCCTGCTGCAGAGGAGGCTCTCTCTCTCTCTCTCTCTCTCTCTCTCTCTCTCTCTCTCTCTCTCTCTCTCTCTCTCTCTCTCTCTCTCTCTCTCTCTCTCTCTCTCTCTCTCTCTTCTCTCTCTCTCTCTCTCTCTCTCTCTCTCTCTCTCTCCCACATACCA